CGCTGCAATCGCCTCCTCGGCTGGTCCTGGTTTTGCTTTGGCATGTCCTGGCTCTGCATATACTCCAGGACAATGCGCGTGGTGTTCATAGTGCTCATAATTGCCGCGGTGATCTGAGCGGGCTCCATGATCCCAGTGCTATGGCGTCTGGTCTGAAAAAAGGCGCGAAACTAGTATCTGACAGACGGAGGGAGGGAGGGAGGGGCAAGTGACGACATGGCATACAGGTACAGGGAATTAAAATCAACAAAGATGCATCAGGGAGAAACACAAACAACTGTCACACAGAATGGCCCCCCCCAAAGATTGAACTCAAAACCCTGGGTTTAGCAGGCCGTTGATTTCACGGAGGGAGGGGGAAGCAAATGAATACAGAACAAATCTATTTTTTACATCTTAAGCTGGCAGACGACGGTGCAGCATGACTGATAGCCCTCGGCATCTTCTGGGTGCTTGGCAGAAAATACTGGGCGCTTGGCAGAAAATAGCATACTACGACTGATAGCCATCATCGTCAAGACAGTTTGATAGGACTGAGCATGTCTGCCCAGGTGCCCATGATTGACAGCCACTGCAGTACGATGACGACGGATACCAGTCGTAATATACCATCTTCTACCAAAAGGCAAGGGGCTGCTGCTGTGTGCAATGCAGCCCCACGTCTGCCAGCCCCACATCTGCCAGCACCCAGATCGCCGATGAAGGCTACCAGTCATACTGCACTGTCTACTGCCAAAAGGCAATTAGCTGCTGCTGTGTAGCACTGCAGTACCACGTCTGCCGGCACCCAGAGGACATATGGTGACGGTGAGCTGAGCTGAACTGAGCGGGCTCCATGCTTGGCGTGGTATGTTGTCTGCACAGGTAACCCAGGTAAAAAGGCGTGAATCGATTGTCTGCCGTTGCTCTGACGGAGGGGGAGGTGCCTGACGACATGTACCCAGAACCCCCCGCGACACTGTTTTGCATCATTCAGGCATTGGGATCTCAACCCAGAATTCCAATGGGCGGCGGAGACTGCGGGAACTGTGGGATAGCTATCCACAGTGCAACGCTCCGGAAGTCGACGCTAGCCTCGGTACTGTGGACGCGGTCCGCCAACTTAATGCACTTAGAGCATTTTATGTGGGGACACACACAATCGGCTGTATACAACCGATTTCTATAAAACCGGCTTCTATAAATTCGACCTAATTTCGTAGTGTAGACATACCCTCATCTTTGTGACTTCTTCTAGGCATGGAATGACCCAGTGCCACCACACTCTAGATTTATTTCCAAGATGCCCCTGGACACTAACCCACATTAAGCAAAGGCTTTCACTACCCAAATATGGCTTGAGATTTTGCTGTTACGGAAGAATCAGCATTTCCTCAGAGTCTGTCAGAATGTCTGGATTTATGCATCTGTCTTTCTGACAGTGAACTCCTCCGAGTCAGGTACTGCCCTTAATTTCGGTCTTGTACAGCACTGAGCACTTTCTTGCTGCCTAACCGTAAATGACATCAACACAATGGGCTGAAAAAGGCACAATCTTGTAATCTTTAGGCTCCCCCGTACGTACACCCAGTTACTATTATTCACTTATCTGTGATAGTCTTTTTTATTAAACTCATTCTGACTTAATTTATCTTTTTTTTTTTTAGGAAAAAATACATTAGAACTCAGAGTTATCCACCTTAAATGAGCCTTTTAAACACAAAAACAAATCAGAGATGCTGCCCTGCCTATGGGAGAGGACTCTCAGAGAGGAGTTGATAGTTATGCCTGGTAGGAGCTCAGGAAGATCTTGTTGGCACTGGACAGAGGTTCAGGCCCAGCAGCTTTTGTTAATCTCGTTGGTAGAGAGCCACCTGTATTAAGATCTTGTCATGCAATCCACCAGCATGGACACCAGCACAGGTGTGGGGTCCATACTGTCAGTTTATAGGGCAGGGTAAAGACCCAGACCTGTACTGTGTGTTGCTGCTGTGTGGCGAAATAGACAAGGGCTGGTCGAGTAAACATGGCTGACTACAAAAAGAGGTTTCTGGGCTTCCACCATTCTATGTTACAGAATAGATCTCCCCCGAGTGGGAACTAGCATGAAGTTTTAGCATCCAGCAAAGGTCAGAATATGCTGAGCCTGAAAGAAACTTAATACAGCTATTATAAAACTGACTCCAATGAGGCCATGAAGAACTACTCACATGAATCAGGGCTTGCAGGATCAGGCCCTGAACTAGCCATTGCTCAACACATAAACATGGGATACCAGATCTCCATGTGGTCACAAGCAGCACAGGTGTTTCTTCCTGTTAGTTTGATTTTATGTGCACACCTCTTTCTTAGATGGGCTATTATAGAAAGGTGTGTGAGACATCATACTTTAAGGGGGAGGGAGTTATAGCAGTATATGCTAAAGGGGAAGGTAACTGAATGTCCTTAGCTGCTGAGTTATTAATTAAGACATGGAAACATCTGCAGGAATAACATGGATAAACAGAGACCACTTAAACGAGGGGCATAGGTTTTTCAGAATCATATACCTTGTATACAACAATCAGCAGAAGGCCCAGTACAGCTGAATGTGGGAATAAGATGTTGACAGGCTAGCCCTAACCACTGTCCCTGTTGTTAAAGTGAAAACCTCTTCAGATGAGCACATGTTTTATTTTGGAGTAATATGGGGAATTGTCAAGTATCTATTTACAACACTTCTCTTACAGTGGGAATACTATGGCTAGAATAGCCATTAAGACAATGGAAAGCTTGTACTAAGTATAGGAAACCATTTGTAAAAATAACATTGCTTTTGTTTTTTTCTTGGCTCACTTTCTCCAGTATTTAAAATAGCTTTAACTTTGCTTCATTCGTACAATTGTTCTTAGAAGTTTAACATTCTAGATTAAAAAGCCGACGTAGCTCAGCAGATTAGTCCTAACCAAGTGGTGACAATTCTTATCGGATTGGAAGTCTTAAGTGAAATAAATTTGAGCATTTGCTTTGGGCTACACTGGATGGGAATAGGCAGCATTTTACGTAAATCAGCACAGCTGCTAATCCTGCCTTTTTCTGAAAGTGGTGTCTTAGAGGGTGGATCCACGCTACAAAAATGAGTATATGAATTACAGAACAGCAAGCAATGGTGCCGCTGCGCCGGTGCTAAGCCACTATGGTTGATGCTGTTCAGACACTTATACCTATTTTTCCAGCTGTAGTTACACACGTTTTCAACAAATGAGTTTACTAGTGATTCCTATGAATCTCCACTTCAGCGAAGGGGCAACAAAACTGCCTCATCCTTTCAAAGGCACGTACTCATTTGAGGTCAAAATGTTGGATAAAAATCGACCTACACATGGTAAAGTAAAATAGGCCGGGGATTACAAGGCATAGTGAGTTCAGGCAGCAGCCTTTTGCCTCCACGGACACAGGCTCAAATCGAACAGCTCACAAGTGAAATGCATTTGGACACGAGCCTGCACTGAGCAAAATAAATACCCAAACCAGTGGCGCACAACCCCCAGTTTCTGATCAATACATGAGATGATGCGGAGAACAGGGTGGAGACGCTTGCATAGCATGTGCTTTCACCGCACAGGCCAAATTTTGTTCTACGCCAGTGAATTCAGGAGTGTAACTCAGGGCAGTCTTGGGGCCTATGAAACAAGTGCAGCCCTAGCATGGCCTTATATATTTACCTGAAGCCACTGTGCCAAATTCTGCCTTCGGATACGCAAATGCAATTTCCACTGGGCCAAATTCAGCTCTGGGCCAGTTTTGCCATTGACTTCAATGGGAGCAGGTTAAGAGCCCTGGTATAAGCAGATGCAAGCTCACTAATTAAAATGGAAGTAGCCAATATATATATGAGAGCAAAATTTAGGCTAGTGAATTAGGCACTCACTTGTTTCGGCATTAAAATATTCCCTTTCCTAAAATGAAACCATAGAAGCAGAGTAAATCTGAGCACTAACAACTACTGCACGCTATGCCGCTCTGGGGCCTTTTGCTCGAACATCTAACACAATGCTGCAGAGAGAGGCTACATTTTAAAACCATTCCCTCTTTGCATTTCTTCCTTATGGATGACTTGTATTTGTCTAGAGAAAAGTATATTATGAGTAAGAAAAATAAAGCACAAATATTAGAAGTTACCTTTTCTTAGAAAAATCTTCTTCCCCACCCCACCCCTCGGACCCCAACATTTGAAGTACTCAATATTGAATCTATGCAGCAGATTACAACCATTTAAAACTGAGCCTTTAAGTACCAAAGAGAAGAACACCTATTACACGAATGCAGTAATTCTTCCGGCCTGATCAGACACTCTTTAAGTCACCGCTCATTCAAACAAAGCAATATGGCATATATTCTCTCTAGATATATACCTATATAGATATGTACACCCCCATTACACATACACACATAATACGGAGAAAAAGCCTTATCTGAACAAAATTACATAGGATGGATCTAGTTGAATAAGTCAGCGAGATCAGAGGAGAGGAATTATGTAATCTTTTCAATTGAGCACACAGCTATAATTACTTTATCAAGCTGCATTAATATTTCACTGCAGTTTTCAGATTATGTGTACGCAGCATAATATTAAATATTCATCTATGGATTAAACCATCGCAGCTTTTAACAGCATGTTTCTCTCTGCCTCTTTTTTCACTAAAGGTATCTGAAATAACCTTACTGTACTGCTGTGGGAGGGGGAAGGGTAGAGAGAAGAAATGAGTGTGCTGAGTAGCCGAAACAGAGTAAAGACAAATGCACAGAGGTCATTTCATAAAGGGCCTAATTTGCAAAGGTCCTGAGCTGTCATTTCTCTCTTGCTGGACCGGAGCAGCAACCCCTCTGCTGACGTAACATTCATGCAGCCTAATTCTGATTATATTAAAAAGGAGAGAAATAATACAGAACGGGGGGAGGGAATAGTAGTAAATACCAAGAAAGGGATTGAAAAGGCAACGTCAAGGAGGAATGGTGAGAGCTATAGAAGCACTTACCCATAAACAGCCAGATGGAGCCACCAGACACTAGGAAGAAGGTGAGCATGCCTGCTGGATCCGGCTGCAGCATGGGCAGCCTGAAGAGACTGGGGGGGGGGGGGGGGGGGACTGCAGCACATTCACTGCAGTGACTGAGGCAGTAGCAGCAGCAGGGACTCAACCACTCCGCTTGCTCCAAGGCGCAGCATGCTTGTCAATTACTCCCACAGCATAGGATGATATTTTTAGCAATCCCCCTTCCTTGGGGACCTCTAGCTTCTTCTTAAAGGGGACAATGCATCCCACTTGGGTAGGGCTCACTAATATGCACTCGAGCGATTCCCCTCCCCCTCCTGGAAATCCAGCAGCCCAGGCAGCAAGGGGGAGTGGGAGGGGAAAGAGGGGATGGGAAGGGGAGAAACTTTATTTGGTGGTTTCTGATATCTTAACCTGTGTCCAAAGAAATTGCCCAAATATGGTGCCCTGCAGCAGCAATGCACTGGAATGCTCCTAGAGGCCCTGATTGTCAGAGATGCTGAGCGCTTCAATTCCACCTGAAGCCGATGGGAGCTGTAGGCGCTCAGCGCCTCTGGAAATGTTCAGGTCTTCACATACGGCGAAGGACTATGCAAGAGAACAGAGAGCCAAGTTGATTGTTATGGTCTGTGGTGAACATTTGGACAAAGCAGATTGGGGGGAATTAGTTATTCCATCCTTTCCTGAACACGCTGGCCTCAGAAAATTAATCTCTCACTGCTGGGTATGAGAAGGGCTTTGCAGAAAGAGCAGAGGCACAGACCATTCTAGGGATGGGTCAGTGGTGAAGTCACATGTGCTGTTCCATCCTTTGCCAGTGGAAGTGTGGGAGTTGGTAGCAGTGACAATAGAATCAAATGTCTCAGTTAGACAGGGGATTTCAACCTTTGATGTAGCTTCATTAGTGCAAACCTGTATAGCAGACAGGCTAAACTGCGATAAACTATGATTTGCACCAGTGCAGTTTATCCCGCCTTGAAACCAGGATAAACTGCACTGGTGCACATCATATCTTATAACAGCTTTACCTGTCTACGTTAGGGACTAGCACAAGGTGGGCAAACTACGGCCTGCGGGCTACATCTGGCCTGCGGGACTGTCCTGCCTGGCCCCTGAGCTCCCGGCCGGGGAGGCTAGCCCCCGGCCCCTCCCCTGCTGTTCCCTCTCCCCCGCAGCCTCAGCTTGCCACGCCGACAGCGCTCTGGGCAGCAGGACTGCACAGCGGCGTTGCTGGCTCTGGCCGGGCGGCACAGCTGCCAGTCCTGCTGCTTTGAGCGGCGTGGTAAGGGGATGGGGGGGTTGGATAAGGGGCTGTGGGTTCTGGGGGGCAGTCAGGTGACAGGGAGCAGGGGGCAGTTGGATGGGACAGAGGTTAGGGGGGGAGGTCAGGGGATGGGGAACAGGGGAGGTTGGATAGGGGGTTGGGTCCCGTGGGGGTTAGGGATGGGGGGCCTGGGAGGGGGCGGTCAGGGGACAAGAAGCAGGGGGGGGGTTGAATGGGTCAGGGGTTCTGAGGGGGGCAGTCAGGGAGCAGGAAGTGGGAGGGGGCGGATGGGGGCAGGGGCTAGGCTGCTTGGGGAGGCACAGCCTTCCCCACCCGGCCCTCCATACAGTTTCGCAATCCCAATATGGCCCTCGGGCCAAAAAGTTTGGCCACCCCTGGACTAGCACCAGTGCAGCTATGCCAGCTGTAATCGGTGCAGAATTCCCAATGTAGACAAAGGCTCATGTTTTTCTTTAAGGTGGAAGGAATGAGAGTGATTGAAACTTTCCAGCAAGAGAAACTGATTCTCCTTAAATAATTCTTGCACTTCTAAAATTGTGATAGCACAGCACTGTTATTGGGGTTTCAGAACAGGGGGATGGGGTGCTCAGATCAAGCTGGTTTGGCCCATCAGCACAGTTACTCCACAGTGCTAGCATGCAAACTGCTCCGTGCTCTCCAGACTCAGTGCAGGGAGCAGGTACCCAGGCTGCTGGGGAAGCATCTCAGCCACCAGGAGATCTGGAGTAGAGCTGTGAGGAACCGGATTTTTCATTTTTGAGGGAAGTTTCACAACTTTGAAATGTCTTTCATTCCAAAATGAAAAAACAACGTAGTAATTTCCTGTAAACATAAATTCTGTTAAAAGCTTTGTTTGGGGTGGATCGAAACATTTCGTTTGATAAGATCAAGACATTTTGTTCCAATTTTGACGTATACAATTTTTTATATTTTATTCTCTAAAATTAAAAAATGAAACAGACGTTCTGAATGGGAAAACCAAAATTTTTCTTCCATTTTTGTTTCTAACCAAATTTTTGTTGAATGTGACATATTTCCACGAAATGGCACTACCTCTCCCTAGTTATCTCCGTAAAGGCTTTATCACCTTGACCAAGAGGTTGGAAAATATTTTCTATGACGGTTATGGCTCAACGCAAAGTGACTCAGCGCTTCCCTACATTTCAAAGTCAATGCTGTCTGCCATGTGCACACTCGTCAAGATCTCACCATCTCACCTTCCCTTTCATTATAAAAACATTAAAATCCTTCACATCTCTGAGTCAGTCAGATCCATCACTCATCTCTGGAACAAATGCAACTACCCGCTCAGTATCAATTATAACTACCTGGAAAGCCATATCTATTTTCAAATTATGCTCATCACCAGGATATCTAAACCGCTCCAACCTCCTATCTGTCTAAATGAGTGGACTCTGTACCTCTCCCCTTTAAACTACTCACTGAAATGAGTAACAAACCACATGATTTCAAGTTGTCTCCTAAAAAACTAACTTTCCACCGTGTTGACTGTAAAGAGGAAAAAACCCACCAGTTTGGTGTTCAGCCCTGCTCTCTGCCCACTGGGTGTGCTGTCTATATGAGATTCTCCCCTCTCTGTCTCCCAAGGAGCTACTCTGCTAGCCTCTCTCCTGCGCTCCACTACAAGACCAGGGGGAATCTAAGCGGGGAACTGCTAAACTGTACATATGGGGGACCGGCATTGTCTCCAATATGCTACTCCTTCCCTCAATTCTCCTCCAGTCTGATCAATAACCACATGCCAATTAGGGCAGACTGTGTCTACACCAACCATCTCTTTCACCCAACTTTCCAGCGATCTCCACCTATCACTTTTCTGTGCAGTTGATGTAAACTCCAACCTCTAAATTCTAATACTATGTGACGTCTCATCAGTTGAGTCCTATAGGTGACTGGCAATATTACACAAAATATTTCTTTATGTTAAACTACCAGCACTGCCAGACCAAACATGAGGCACAAAATACATTAAAATAGCCTTTCATGTTATTACTTAGTCTCACCAGATAATCTCCTTGATGGGAGCTGGGTGCCTAGCTCCATTAGGCACTTGTGAAAAATCTACCCATTAGTAAATTAACCTGACTCCTACATGATATCCCATCTTTTGGAGGCGAAATGCTGAGTCCAAACTACAGTTCCCATCACTGCTTACTTTAGTATGCAGTTAGCAGACTGCATAGCATCACTTAAATCACTACCAACATTTGGAATCAGAAGTCCAGGGAAGTCATCCAATATGCAACATTTAAAGCATGGGTAGATTTTGATAAGACATCAAATCATGAGAAAAAACAGGCCTTATCCAAGTGAACAATGATTAAAATGGGTTTAACTATTGTGGAAACCTCAGTTTAACAGAGGGCTACTTAATTGCTAAGACTCACAGAGAGTTATGATCATGCAGCATTTGTATGTGGATAGAACCTCCATTTTGCTAGTATGATGCAGATTATGGAGAAATCTCATTTACCTGATATTTCGTTTCAAAGACACATTTTAAAAAAGAGGAACTGTAGCTTTAGGCACAATTCGCTGTTTTATACCTTCTACACTTGTCTGTGGTAAGGTTATGGGAAACTTGCTGAAATACACCTGAGGAAAGGTTTTTCTGTAACATTTTGAGAACTTTATTAAAGTGAGATTTGTAGAACTACACTTGATTAAAATTAATGCATATTCAGTCGGCCTCTATGATGCAGAAAATGTACCTGGAGAGCTATAATTTACCTTCCATTGGGCACCAGAGTTCTTTTCCACTCTCATATCACCTGAGCTGAACATTTAAAATTCTTACCTTACACTGGCTGTGATGATTCACAGATTCTAAGGCCAGAAAAGACCACTGTGATAATCTAGTCTGACACCCTGCATAACATAGGTCATAGAACTTCCCCAAAATAATGTCTGTTTGAACTAGAGAATATCATTTAGAAAAACATCCAATCTTGATTTAAAAATGTGTAATGATGGAGAATACATCACTATCCTTGGTAAATTTTTTCTATGGTTAATTAACCTCGCTGTTAATGTGTGCCTTACTTTCAGTCTGAATTTGTTTAACTTCAATTTCCAGTCACTGGATCTTGTTATATGTTTGCCTGCTAGACTTAAGAGCCCATTAGCAAATGTTTGATCCCCATATAGGTATACAAACTGTGATCAAACCATTTCTAGTGAAGCTAAACAGCTGGAGCTCCTTGAGTATATTGCTATAAGGCATGTTTCCAATCCTTTAATCATTCTCGTGGCTTTTCTCTGAACCCTCTCCAATTTATTAACAGCCTTCTTGAATTGTGGGCATCAGAACTGGACACAGTATTCCAGGAGTGGCCACACCAATGCTAAATACAGAGCTAATATAACCTCTCTATTCCTACTCAAAATTCCCCTGTTCATACATCCAAGGAGAGCATTAGTCCTTTCGGCCATGGCATCACACTGGGAACTCATGTTTTTCATGCACCATGACCCCCAAATCTTTTTCAGACTCATAGACTCATAGACTTTAAGGTCAGAACGGGCCATTATGATAATCTAGTCTGACCTCCTGCACAACGCAGGCCACAGAATCTCACCCACCCACTCTTGTAACAAATCCCTAACCTATGCCTGAGTTATTGAAGTACTCAAATACTGGTTTAAAGACCTCAAGGTGCAGAGAATCCTCCAGCAAGTGACCCATGCCCCACACTGCAGAGGAAGGCCAAAAACCTCCAGGGCCTCTGCCAATCTGCCCTGGAGGAAAATTCCTTCCCGA